TGGATGTTGTTTCCTAATGACCATCCAATTTTTAGAATCAAGGGTCGGCCAAATTACTATTCAACCAAGAAGGAAGAATATTCTCAGATCAGGTTCGATCTGAATGCTGGTACGTATCTGATAAACTCCGCTTGCGATCCCTGATCTGAACCTAGGCCTCTTAGACCTCTCCTCGCTCTTCAATTGGAACACAAAACAAATATTCGTCTACGTCTACGCTTCGTACTCGTCCTCCGACAAGAAGTCCTCTCTTCTTCCTAACTCTGAGTCCATCATCTGGGACACCATCATCTCCGCCCCAGAATCGCCTTACTCGTTCGATGCCCTGCGCCAACGCTTTTTCCCGACCAAGTCGACCTCCTCGGCCCGCAAGAACCAGAAGCGAAGCACTTCCGCCTCGAAGAAAACCTCAGCCTCAAAAAAGGAGACACTCGCGCCGGGCGTGCTCCGTCTGAGCAACCAACGGGCTAAGTACCAGATCAGCGATATTACAGGGAAGCTCGCGGAGCGCAAGAACGTGACGCTCTCTGTGGGCTGGAATGTGCAGCCCTGGGTTGGTGCGTTGTGGTGGAGTCCTGGCTCTGGTGCTGTTCCCCGGACGGCCGGCACCGTGGTGAGCAGCGAGGCTTTCGATTTTCCTGCTTTGAAGGGAAGCAAGGCCTCTGCTGCTAAGGCGGCTGAATCGGGCGCTCAGACGGCCTAGAGTCTATAGAGCAGTATATTGATGAACAGTGAAGGGCAGTTTCTGACTGCCAGTTTCATTCGTTGAGATATCCATTATAACTATCTTGAGTCGTTCAAAATTGTAAGAAACCATAGAACGTAGACATGAAATCAGATGGCCATAACATTGTAACTGGGATCCAGGGCTGGGCCGGGTCAAGGTCCAGAAATGAGAAAAACTCGTACACAAAGCAACATGGCATCATCTGATCATCAAGTTTAAACACTCTTCCTGTGATGGTCCGTGTCGTGTTCATCATGCATGTCCTGAATCGGTCGCAGTTGGATGAGAGGCTCAAACAGTGCTGCCATAGGACCTTTCGTTGTGTCCTTGCAGAATGCGTTGCGAATACACCCCAGGAGCGGGCTTCCGAGTCATTGGGTCCGTATTGCGGTTGTGATAGTAGACGTATTCCAGATAGAACGCATGGATATGACCCGGGAAGTATCTATGTCTATCAGCAGACTGTTTCATACGCCTCAAATGTCAAAGGACGGCCGAATCAAGAAGGTACTGCCTTGCAGGTTCAGATTCTAGAGAAAATGTTCACTCACCCTAGAATCGTGAGCAGAATATTGATGAAGAAATCTGCACTACAGCCCGAAATCATAAATACGCCGAGAGGAGGTACTAACAATCAAATCCAGGTTAGAGGGGTGATCAATCGTACTGATACTACTTGAACGAAATCAAACCAAAAGGCAACATTCCGTTTGATCGAAGGGGGAATTCGACTGTGACAAAGACGAGCAACAGGGAACTTACTGAAGAGAGTGACCAAAATCAAACATAGCATTGATGCTGTGCCTGCCATTTTGTCCACGGAGTGTCTAATCTGCTAAGTTTCCAATGATTTGCCCGAGGGTTTGTTGGAGCTCCAGGAAGTTCCCAAGAAGCTGAGAAACAGGATCGCGAACAACAAGATAAATATATACATGGGAGTGTTGTCATCAATAGAGGAGTTCAGACGGTTCATTTTGTATGGTTGAAGGCGAAAGAGGGATCAGCATGCAACCAGCCACGCCACCAAAGACTATGATACAATCATACAATAGGCCAAAAGGAGAACTGGGCAATTGCCCAAAAGCGTAGGACGACAGTAGGGCTGAAGGCAGAAACGTCTTGGCCTTATGAAGCACTGATGTCATCCCGCAATGATCCGGCCGCGGATCATATTTGCTACGCAGTATTCCTCTTTCGGAAATAACGACCGACTGACGGTTGTGGCTTTGTTGGTGCTAGCCAGCAAGTGCCATATGACTGTACATTTCTGTACTTCGCAGTAGTGGTTATATTGTATGCCCATGTACGAGTTGTTACATGACTAATTTAATAAGTCAGTCAACTCCTTCGACTCATGCTTCTTCATATTCCACATGTGTGACGTGTGTGACGTGAGGAGTAACATGAGGTGCAAGTAATGGGTCGGGCACATTAGACTCCTAACAATCAAACAGCATCAATGGATGCTCTTGTGGTGACTTGCTCGTTTTTGTTGCCGAGCTTTGATATCTGCAGGAACGCATCCACACCATAGCCCTCAAGGCTATGTAACTCAAGGCTGCCTGCCCAATATTCTGCATAGACCCTGCTCATAGGAAGGCCAATTCCAAGGCGTAGATTAGGTGGACGAGAGGTGAGCGAGTCAAGTGAGCCCTCTCGGTATGTTTCCCTGTCGGCGTGCTTCCGTTCATTGGGAACTGTCAGCTCTTGCATCGTAGCTGCCATCGCAGGGACCTGTTTCAAATTCTGGAGTCGTGATTTGCTCAGAGGGCCTTTGTCGAAGGACCACAGATATGGCATGACTTCACGGGGTATCCCTCCCCCTTGATCCGATACTCGCATGATCACATGCTGAGGCGCCTCGCAGATTAGAACCTCGATGGGCGGAGGCTTCTCGGAAGACTCCTTGTATTTTTCAATGACAGCCTGGATCGAGTTGCGCAGGAGCTCGCCAATGATATACTCTAAATGGCTCAGAATATACGGGAAAGTTGCTTCAAGATGTCCCTGTACAAGGATCTCGGGGATCTTGTCCGTTCCCGAGCTTTGCCGCATCATATCCTGCGCAAGCTTCCCGCAACGTTCAATCACCTCTTTCGCATTGCATTTGAGAAATACCTCACCGACAAAGTCTGCGTTCATATCAGTCCGGTCCTGCGAGCTTGGGAAGTGCCAGGGAGAGCTGAAAGTTTCTGTCAAGGCTAAGTGCTGCTCTGCAATGACCCGACGGGAAATTCTCTAGAGATCGTGGGCAAATTAGCCACCCGCATAGCAAGCGGTAGAAATCCCGGATGTTGGAAATTTCCATACCGATCGAAGGAGAGTGTTCATGAATTGATCCATCACGCCTGGTGCTACAAGATCCCGACATTCCAGAACGCCCATTGCCAACTTCGGAATCACGACGAGATGCTCTTTGAGGGTCTTACGCAGGATGTCACAAAATCTTTCGTTATCCTCTAGAGTCTTGATCTCCGGTATGACGCGAAACCGTTCAAATGCCTTGTAGTAGAGCTCATATACAAGGGAAAGATGTGGATTTGCTACAACCACATACGGCAGCTTCTGGATGTCTCGCAGTCGATGCGCAATTCTGGCCGTGGGAATCAAAAAATGCAAGTCAGGCCTGCACGGCTCAAGGCATGCAAGGGGAAAACGCATACTGACCTGGTTGGCAGCTCTGTTCGCACGTAGTTGGCGGAACTAATGAGGCGTGACTCAGTTAATGTTCGCCCAAAGAAGGTCAATTGCCGAAGACTAATAGGCCGAATCTCGCGCTCAACCCATCTGTCACGCATAGAGTCAGCAGCAGTTGTACTTATGCTGGCAGCATTGCATACTCGTCGAGAACGGAGCCAGGTCTCCACGGAGGCGGGCTATGTGAGTTGTCAACACTGGAGTAGAACCGTACTCGAGGTCTGCAACTCAGTCGAAGCGCATGCCAACATCGTAATGGTTGATTTCGCCGCATGATGCGGTTGACTCAAGGCGGAACGGAACTTGAAAGTTCGAGGATATCGATCCACAGTGGATTTGACTCAGCCGGGACGGTTGACCAGTATAAGATAGATACAGCGTCTTTCGTACATGGTTCATCTGCAGTTAGCAGCTACCAACAATTTCTTGTCTCTCACTGGTGGCATGACATCTTGCTGGACATGTACATTAAATTATGACAAGGTGAGCAGAGGTGCCAGTGACAAACAACTAGTCCAGGGCGGTGAGTGCTTGTCCTGACATGTGACGTCGACACTATCCATGAAGACTTCCAGTTGCTTTGTTGATCTTCAGCAACCAGCGTCAACAGGAATGTAAGTGCACTGAAGATCACCTTGAATCCTATCGCTGCCGGAGCTTATCTTTAGAAGTATATGGCCAATGTCAGGCTCATGATATGAAATAAAGTACAGAAACTGAGGAATTACGTGATGAGAGACAATGATTGATCGATGCTGCCCAGCCTAACATATGACCAATGTAGACTGGCTTGTGGCTGCAGTATCCATTCCCAGCTTAGTACCTCTCGACTCTGTGATGCATAGTTATTCCTCGGCTTTTGCCCGGGGCATGCATCACAAGTGACATAATCATGTAGGACACAACTAGTTATGTAGCCAGGTGTTGGTCTACTTCGCCCACTGCGTTTTCTCGCGCTCTTGTTCCGAGATACCAGGAGCAAGATGATAGATTACTGGAATTCGCTGACAAGTAAGAGTCAAAAGAAAACAGAATAGCATGGTTTTCAACGCCTTGGTGTTCGCTGCAACCGACTATACCATCAAGCTTGAGGCATCTATAACCTGCCCTAAGCTTACCTAAAGTGAGAATTTACAAAGGCGATGGTGCCGTACAGTGTGATCAAAAGACTAACCAGTAGAACATTAGCTAACCAGTAATTCTGACATAGACAAATTAAGCACTTAATCTCTCATTCATCTCTTCTGCAAGTGCTACGTTTAGATTGCTGTACTTTAGCAATACTCTGCAGCCGACCTTATCCATAGGCGGTCTCAAGTGTCCCACCTGTTTTTATTGGGTTCTGGAAACTCCGCCACTAGCTTCATCTCCTGTGAACCGGAATCTGGTCCTTCAGATCTCTTTTTTACCACTTACTCATTGTCTTGTGTCACTCTCTTATTCATATTCTTCTCATCTCATCACGGTTCTGACCGTTGTTCGCCTTCCCCTCTGGTTGCTTCCTGGGTAGCTCCCCAACGCGTCCTTGATTGACGGTATTTTCAGGTGACGAGCTTGAGCGCACTTTTCTTTCTTCATGGACAACGTCAGTACCCCGTTCATTCCTGTCTCCGCATAAAAAAGAAGAGGAACGATTCAGAGTCGCTGGAACATTCTATCAATAGCTGACATGTGAACTTTTTGTCTTATAGGCTGCGGATAATGAGATGCTCGTCGATGAATATGAGCAGTATCACAATGACAGGACAGACGATGTCGTGGTTTCTCGCTCCGGATCAGAGGAGCCGGAACCAGAGCCCCTTGCGGATGACTGTAAGATTGTCTACCATGCCGTTCAGCTGTTATACACTTTCCCACATTTGTTCAAGAGGCTTTGGATCGGTATCTCGGTCCTCGCGCAAGGGTCGAATATCCAAGAGTCAACTGCTGGCGCCTAAATCCACACACCTCGTCCCTCGCAATGACACGAAGGCATTGTACTAAGCACTGGTTTAGTTCGAGCAATGATGGCACGAATACTACCTGAGGATCCGGACCTGGAAACCGCGGACGAGGCATACCACACATGGCACATCCAGGACTGGCGGAAGTTAAAAAAGAAGGAGCATGGACCAGTATTCCAGTGTGGGGGATTCCCATGGTGAGTTGAGCATTTGAAGAGCACTCCGGTTGCTCTCGCCGTCTGACATTGGTTAACAGGCGGGTTCTTTTCTTCCCTTACGGTAATCATGTCGATTATGCCTCGTTCTATTTAGAGCACGCCTGGGACAAGGAGCCTCCGGAAAATTGGTATGCATGCGTCCAGTTTGCTCTGGTATTGTGGAACGTCAATGACCCATCAATTTATGTATCTCATGGTATGTACCTCGGTGACCCTTGTGCTCCCTTCTCTTCGTCGTTCTGAACCCGAATATAGTCGCTACGCACCGTTTCAATGCCGATGAGGGCGATTGGGGCTTTACCAGATTCTGTGAGCTGCGCAGACTTTTCAACATGCCGTGGGAAGGCCGTGGGGTGCCCTTGGTGCAGAATGATGAAGCTAAAGTCACTGCTTACGTGCGTGTTGTGAAGGACCCGACAGGGGTACTTTGGCACAGTTTTCAAAAGTATGTACTGCTTGAATATTTCCGCGTCGCACGAGGCTTACTCGACCTAGTTACGACTCGAAGAAGGAGACTGGCATGGTGGGGTTGAAAAATCAGGGCGCAACGTGCTACCTCAACTCCCTGCTGCAATCCCTGTATTTCACAAATGCTTTCCGCAAGGTAAGGGCTTCCTTCCTTAGTGTTCAGTTAGAGATATTGACTATTTTTTGGAGGCTGTGTACCAAATTCCCACAGAGGCAGAAGCGACGCGAGAGAACAGTGCCTGGACACTCCAGAGGCTCTTCTACAATCTTCAAACGAGCGAAAACTCTGTCTCAACAACCGAGTTGACCGCATCATTTGGCTGGGAATCGCGGCAGATCTTTGAACAGCAAGATGTGCAGGAACTTTCCAGAAAGCTTATGGAAAGACTCGAAGAGAAGATGAAAGCGACACCAGTAGAGAATGCATTGCCCGAACTTTTTGTCGGCAAGACGAAGACTTACATCTCTTGTATCAACGTCGACTACGAATCGTCGCGTGTGGAAGACTTCTGGGATATCCAGCTGAATGTCAGAGGCAACAAGACACTCGACGACAGTTTCAAGGACTACATTCAGGTGGAGACCCTCGAGGGCGAGAACAAGTACGATGCAGGCTCTCCATACGGCCTGCAAGATGCCAAAAAAGGTGTCATCTTCGAGAGCTTCCCTCCTGTGCTCCATTTGCACCTGAAACGCTTCGAATATGACATTAATCGCGATGCGATGATGAAGATCAATGACCGCCACGCTTTCCCGATGGAATTCGACGCGACTCCATATCTCTCTGATGCTGCCGACAAATCAGAACCGTGGATTTATCAGTTGCACGGAGTCCTAGTTCACAGTGGTGATCTGAACGCAGGCCATTACTACGCATTCTTGAAGCCTACCAAGGACGGCCATTGGTACAAATTTGATGACGACCGTGTGACCAGGGCCACTGACAAGGAGGTACTCGAGGAGAACTATGGTGGTGAATATGAACTATCTAATGGCGCGGCCGGCGTCCGGCAACCACATACACGGGGTCTGTCGACCAAACGGTCAATGAATGCCTACATGTTGGTCTATATTCGGAAAACACGCCTGGATGATGTCCTTCTGCCGATCACAAAGGAAGATATCCCTTCTCACATTGGTAAGCCCCGGCATTCTCTTCATACGCGAGCAGGCATTTTGACATTAAATCAGAAAAGCGTTTAGTAGAGGAGCGCGCGGAGCTCCTCCGCAGAAAGAAGGAGAGAGAAGAGGCTCACCTGTATATCAATGTCGGAGTTCTATCGGACGAGTCGTACAGGTCACACCATGGATTTGATCTGACGAGCACGGACCTACCTGCCGGCGATCCGGCCCTGCCGAAACAGTACAGGACTCTTCGGGCTAAGAAGGTTGGCGAATTCGTAGAGCAGCTTGCGGAAGAACGGGGTCTGAACGCAAGCCAAATCAGGCTGTGGGTGATGGTGAACCGTCAAAACAAGACGACTCGGCCGGACCAAGCCATCAAAGACCCGGACATGACGGTGGAAGAGGCCTACAGCAGATTTGGGACTAAAGGAAACCCGTTCAAAGTATGGATGGAAGTTGGGCAACCATCTGCGGATGGAACTATCTCGTGGCCTGACAGCAGTTCTTCTGTGCTCGTCTTTTTGAAGAACTTTGACGTCCCTTCTCAGACTCTGTCTGGAGTCGGTGCTGTATACGTCCGCAAGAATCAGAAAGTCGCAGAACTCGCCCCGATAATTCTCGAGAAAATGAACTGGCCTGCCGGAACAGAGTTCATGCTTTTTGAGGAAATCAAGCACAACATGATCGATGTGATGAAGCCGAAGCAGACTTTCCAGCAGTCTGAAATTCAAGACGGCGACATAATCACATTTCAACGCACAGTCAAAGAATCTGACTTACCACCCACTGCACTATACACAGATGCAAGACAGTATTATGACTACTTGTTGAACAGAATAAATATCACTTTCGCTCCCATCAAAGCGACTGATGGCGACGAGTTCACTCTCACTCTGAGCCGAAAGATGACATACGATCAGTTCTCGAAGAAGGTCGGCGAGCACCTCAACGTGGAATTTACTCACCTCCGTTTCGCCCCTGTTCTTGCAAGTACCGGAAAGCCCAAGCAGTTCATTAAACGCAATCCTAATCAGGCCAACCAAACACTGTACCACATCCTTAGTGGGCAGGTCAGTGGCTACGGTTATAGCATGCATCGCCAAGATGCACTATACTATGAAGTTCTTGAGACCAGTCTTAGTGACTATGAGTCGAAGACTACACTGAAAGTAACGTTACTCACCGAAGGCATTGTGAAAGAGGTAAGTCCGCCGTATCATCGAGCCCTTAGGGTCATTTATGCTAATTTTTACATAAGCAATTGGTTGAAGTCCTGGTGCCTCGGGACGGCACCTTCGCAGATCTTCTGGCAGGTCTACAGAAAAAGGCAAACCTTGACGATGATATGGTTCGAGAAATGCGCATCTTCGAGGCCCACAGCGGCAAAATTTACAAAGAGTACCAAGAAGATGCTAAGATCGCTGGCATCAATGAGTACGTGACTTTATACGCCGAGAGGATACCCGAGGAAGAACTTCAGATGCATGACGGCGAACGGACAATCAATGCATTCAGCTTTGACCGAGAGCCGAGCAGGCCGCACAGTATCCCGTTCAAGTTTGTCATGAAACCTGTATGCACATCCCATTTCGATCTTTTGGCTTTCACTAGTGCTCACAAACTTTCAGGGCGAGATCTTCAAGGAAACGAAAGAGAGGCTCTCCAAACGAACCGGCATCAAGGGCAAACAATTTGAGAAGATTAAATTTGCTGTCGTTCCCCGGTCTTTGTATTCTAACCCGCGGTATCTTGATGATGGTAAGTGTTACATTTTCGCTTCTGAAGCGAAGAATTGGAGGTGCTAATATAACGATTGCAGATGATATCCTTTCCGACATTGTTGGCGAATCCGACGACCTGCTGGGACTGGATCATGTAAATAAAAGCCGGAGCTTTTGGAGCAGGAGCGAGTCTTTTTTCATTCGATAGATGAGGTGATCTATGCGATGTACTCGGTGGCGACGATTCCTACCATCAAACCTATGCTTATAGATAGCACGCATGCTATTCCTATTGATGCCTCATACTTGAGAAATACCATATTCTTGTTTGGAATATTTTTTCAGTCTGCTGGGCTCCTCTCCTCTCCTCGTGCCAATGGCTCCTATGTCTTGGCGTTTTCTTCTACTATTTTACACCTTCTTTCACAGTTGGCCTATTGTCCGTTCCTGCAGGAGGCACCAGGATCTGAGTACCTCCAAACCCCCTTAAATCCGTTCCATCTCGAGCTCTTAGTATCATAGTTTTATAGAATGGCACTTATCACTCCACGCTTGTTGTCATCTGACTAGGGGAGGACTCCATACAAAATAAGCTTCCTGCTGAATGACCGGGACTAGTCCTGTTGTGGTATAATGCAAACACAACAAACGTGGCGGAACGCAAAGCTGTCCAGAACTTCCTACTCCTCCTGAGCTCCATAGAAGTCGCGTGTGTTTGGAGTCAGCTGCTTTTTTGTGAAGGGAGCCACCCCGTTTGACTACGGACCCTCTTTTCTCTTCTCTAACCCACAATGCAATTCTCAACTGTATTGATAGGTCTCCTGGCCACTCTAGTCTCGACCGTGACGGCTACCGCTTTAACGTACAGACTTGAGGCCAACGAGAAGGCCTGCTTCTATAACTACGTTGACCAGAGGAACGCCAAGGTTGCTTTTTATTTCGCTGTATGCTCTCTCCTCTTTTCACCCCTGAGAATAGATAATGTCAAGCGCAAGGATTTGATAAAAAAAAACATGGCTGATAACACGTCGACTCCAGGTTCAATCCGGCGGCTCTTTCGATGTCGATTACTCAGTTGTTGGCCCCGGAGAGAAGGTTATCCTAGACGGAACCAAGGAACGGCAAGGCGACTTTGTCTTCACGGCTCAGAGCATTGGGGAGTACCGATTCTGCTTCAATAATGAGATGTCAACATTTGCGGAGAAAATGGTCGACTTTGAGATTGCTGTATGTTCGGGTTCCTGGATACACAGTGGCTGGATTCGTACCGAGGGACTTATCGCATTAACTCGGATTCTTTGTAGGTCGAGAATGAGGAGCGCGCGCAATTGCCTTCACGGCAAGGTGCCAGTCCCGAGCAGGCATCGGCCCTTGAAGAGTCCATCTACAAACTGTCCGCTCAACTGTCGACTATTGCCCGCAACCAGAAGTACTTCCGGACCCGCGAGAACCGCAATTTCAGCACGGTTCGCAGCACCGAGAGGCGGATTTTCAACTTCAGTGTGATTGAGGGCTTGATGATGGTGTCGATGGCTGGTCTGCAGGTGTTTATTGTTCGGTTCTTCTTCCAGGGTGCGCGGAAAGGTATGTATTCCCTTGCTTACGTGGGCATGGAATCTGGCACCATTTTGATCTATGGCCTTTTCCGTTCCTTGATTCAAGTCCATATCTGACTGACATCTTTGCAGGCTATGTGTGATGAATGAACATGAATACTATGGTTATGTCTGTTGAATTGTGGCGTCTACTATTGTATCTATCCCCTTTCCATAGGTTCTAGAATTAGTGCACCTTTGATGCTGAAGCCTGTTTCCCTTACAAACAAACTTAGCGATGATGAGGCATCCGTGGACGGAGAAGGGCGAAACTCATTGCGTAGCAAGCTTTTGTTCTCTTAAATGGGAGTAAGAGCAATCATGCTCCGCATCATTGCGCACCTTGTAAAGCTTATGGCCTTCCCGACTTTGTTTTTCCAACCGGTTGAACTAATGCCTGTAGTGTGTCCCTGAGAAATGACACTGGTTCCATAAGCGGTTCAGGGCAGCGAACCCAAACGACGTGCTTTAGAGTAGGGCTAAGGAGGATCCTATGAGAGGAGAGCAAGTCGGCGAAGCGAGGTGCGGTGACGAATCAGTTCTAGAGTGTTGTAACTTGTATAGAGAATAAAAACGAGTGGCTCCATCATATTGCAATTGACTTAGAGGATTTGCTTGTCAGTGTGATTATCTGCCCTAGGATTGGAACATTCAGTCTTGCCTGTCCGTCTAATTGATGATCAATATCAAGGGAACCCCAGACGAGGAACAGGTGGGGGATGTCCCAATACACAGAGGCATAGAATGGTATGGTATGACAACATCCCAGCTATCACTAAAGCCGGTAAACTTATTCAGTTCTAGCGACAAAGCAGGATAGTAGGCTTTTATCCTCCCGTTTCTACCTACTGTTATATGGTTAGTACGGAGTACTCCATAGTAGGGATATAAATTCTCCTACTAAATTTGAAAGTCCACTAAGTGTGTGACAAGTAACCATCCTACAGGCTGCCCGTGCCTATGCCTGCACCTATACCCGAACCCTCTGCAGTTACCCTGTACTATATCTGCTATAGCCCTGTTATCTCTTTTGGCCTGTCGTCCAGGAGAGGAAACTTGGACATGGGGCTGGTACGCTACAGGGGGTGTGTATATTAAGACTGTTAGCACACCTAACAACAGCAGGAGAGGACATGAACCAGGAAAGATAAGGTTGGAGGCCATATCCTACAGGGCTGAGGTGGTGGGATATCACTTAACAGAGAATATGATAGCATATCCATATGTTTGTCAGAAGGCTATGTTTTAAAACTGGACTGGAATGGAAAAAAGACTATATCATTAGATAAATTTTTTGGTATTCACTGACCTGGGTTTTACCTTATAAAAGTCACAAACTTCCCACATATTGCGTCTAACAATCCCCTTTTTAATAAAGCTAGCTACTTACATGGAAATGAGCCATGGAGCCCTCAAATCCTAACTTTGAGATACTTTCCGACTATGAGGAGGAGATGCTCGAGTCTCAAGCTGTGCGGGAGGTCCTTGATCATCTCGCAGTAGGGCTACTCTCAAAACTTGATGTACATGTTCTCTGCAGCTTTGTTCAATGTGGGGAGGAACCCATAGAACAAGAAAAGCTTCGAATGAGCCTGGCAAGGAAAGTCTGGGATCAAGTTCTACAACTTTCCACCCTCAGTGGTGTTGGGCGTGCATCCTTGCCATGGTTTCATAGAAAGACCCAGCAATACCTGAGATCCGCTGTTGCTGGAAAGAGGATCAATGAAGTATGGGTCCATAACTTTCTGTTCGGGTATGGAACGACATGAAACAGGCAAAGGAGAACGGATCGGAGTTTCCCAAGTGGTATAAGCCAGTCGACCCTTTCAATATTGCTGAGATCCAAGCCCCAAAAAAGAAGACAACAGCACCAACAGCTTCCATCTGTGGCCAAGGCGAAAGCACCTTCTAAGACTCCTCGACCACACTTTCGCAAGGAGCTTCCTCAAGGAGTAGGATGGCCTGAGTCTGTTATGCAAGAGTCAATGCCAGCTGTGCAAAATCCTACTCGCTTAGAAGTATGTACGAGCAGAGCGCTCTAACATCTTCTCTATTCCCTGTTGATATTATACTGGATCAGCTCACGGAGCTTTCGTCGAGAGATGAACTTTATCCAGCTATGGACGTTGCCTGAGTTTTGTCATAAACAGCTCTAAAGAAGCTGCGATATATTACACAACTTGATGGGATGTCCTTTCAGGGAATGTGTATGAGGCCATTCCTTCGGAAGTCCAATCTCAGCTAACAAAACCTCCCAAAAGAGGAAGGCCTAAGGGGCTTATTCCAGCACACATCAAAGAGAGAGCTCAGGGAAAGTGAGAATTGTTGGTGGTGCGACGCGATCCTTGACAAGAGTCGCTATTGGAACTTTGACCTTCAGGAGCGACTGTCATAGATGTGCAACGAATGCCCTAAACTCAGGCCGTCTACAGATCTTGAAAAAGCAGATAATGGAATTGGAATTACGCTGCGGTTGTTGCAAGTCCTTAAGATTCGTCACAATGGACCTTCACCAGTGCGACGAATCTTCCTACATGTTCTCTTCGTTGCCAGTCGATGCTGCTTCACAATGACGAAAGTGAGTATCCAGATCGGTCAGACGCACTGCCAAACTCAGGCGAAGTATGCTATCAAGATCAGTGTACCGACCATTTATTTATGAGGCCACCGATGGTGGCATATTTCAAAGATGTCCACGATATCGATACCTCTATTGTGTCGCTCGTTGCGCAAAAGGAGTCCAGATCCGAGATTGATTGCAGAATTAACGAGGAACTGCTTTGAGCTGGGCGAATCAATAGGTGTAATAGCAGAGACTCCAAGTTGGCCAGTCCGCAACGGTTTGAAAATCCACCTATTCTCTGAATGCCATTTACTTTTTCCTCATACTCCAACTTCGTCTTGGCTGAAATTTGTTTCTCTGTATGGAATTACAGAAGAGGGTTTAGAGCTTTCAAGCATATGGTTGAGTTTCTGCTCGAGTTGATAGTGGCTAGCTTTCCGAACTACGGCAGTGCTTATGAGGAATACTATGGTGGCGGATAATATTCTGCTAAAAGAATGTGTCAAATTGCTTTTGAATATAGAATATGATCCAGCACTGAATCAAGGAGATTGAGAAGGACATCCTGCTGTCTTCTCAATTACTGAGAGAATTGTTCTGTGCAGGAAATACAGGCTCTTTTAAGTCTGCATTCCTCTGCAATTAGAAAAAATTCGAAGACCATCGGCTAGTTAATAAGAATAAAGATGTCTAGTAATGTTAGACAGGGTGAATGAGGGTCTGTATTCTGTTTATTTCTCTAGGGTATAAATTTCGACAGATACCCAAGCAGACAGGCACCTACAAAGTAAGGTGGTGCCCCGTAAACGATGTGACTATTTTTCTGGCAGCGCCAAAAACAATGTGGCCCGATTAACTCAGTTGGCTAGAGTGTCAGACTTGTTCGTACCCCTCTTAGTCATCATCTTCTTTCGCACGTTGCTAATTCCCTCTCAGTTAATCTGAACGTCGGGGGTTCGAGCCCCCCATCGGGCGATTTCTTTTTTGCATATCCGTCCTAATGAATGCCTATTGAGTACTCATTTCTCTCGTCTGTTCTGCTAAGATGATCTTTTTTTTTTATTAGCCTTCTCCGAGAGGTTTGTGAAGAAAAAATATAGATATCAGGTGAAGTAGATGTGAAGTATAGTAGGTACCCTTACACTATCGACCATCCAAATTGTTCAGTCAATAATACGGCTCTAGTCGTAGGTAGGAATAATTTATGCGCAAAGCAAGGAATTTAGCTAGCTTACAAGTCTAAGAACCCCGGAACTTTCCATCCAATGGCCCGATTAACTCAGTTGGCTAGAGTGTCAGACTTGTTCGTACCCCTCTTAGTCATCATCTTCTTTCGCACATTGCTAATTCCTCCCCAGTTAATCTGAACGTCGGGGGTTCGAGCCCCCCATCGGGCGCTTTACTCTTTTTTTTTTTTTCGTTATCTCTTTTCTTTTTCACTTCATCTACCCTTTAGATATTCAAAAATTCTCTCGTTCTTCAGGTACGGGGGAGTTGCTGAACCCGAAGAGTATCGCCCTATCATCAGGTGGTGTATCACTACTGTACTGGTTATTAAAGCCGACCCACTGCAGTTAGAAAAATTGGACCACCCAGCAGTTCGGAGACAGGCGTCTCGCGTTGTCTCAATGAATACCTCTCGAAAGGCAGGTACGCGAGCCTGGTAGAACAATGGTACAGAGTACTCCAGCAGATGACGTTTTGCTGCAGGCCTGCCATTTCAGGGGTTGATCCTTAGGTGAAATTCGGTGTCGAGCAGTGATTTCATCCCTTCATCCATCCCAAACAGTGTGATATCATCAGGGACATCATAGGTGGTGCTTGGGACAACATTGCTCTTCTGCTGTCACCATATTCTTGACAACTGTCTGAGTCTACCTACACCACGCAATATCATTCGTACTCGAAGGGTTCTACTTTGGATCTCCTGTGGATAACCATGCTCTTGGTGTGATCCAATGAACTCCAGTCCTGGATTTTGAGATGGCCTTCAGAAAAGCGAACAGTGATGGGTGGTACGGCGTGGAAGAGGGAAGGATTATATAGACTTGCCTGACCGGGGGAAGATCTGATACCGCTGATATCATCCGATTCCAGCAACGTCCATAGCTTGTGTCGGTTGTTGAGACAAACATCATGGAAATCTAGAATCTTGGTAACGATCAAAGCTGCGACCAGGACATGCCAATCCGCCCTTTTTCGAATAAGGTGCCGTTCCCACTTGGGTTTTCTTGGTGCCAACCATCCGCAAGGACCCAACAGGGACGTTGGTGTACTATCCCCTCCTAGAACAGGTTCCTCCGCGTCATCAAGCCGTCCGCTGGTTCTATCCTGATGGGCCACGAAATTCACCGGAAGGTCGCGAATGCGCCATGAACTAGTATGTAGCTGTATGACCATATTAGGTGCTTCAACTCCAATCTCCAAGATCTGTCGATGTCGACTATCGACAGCCAGAGACCGCAGATCAGTCAGAATATCCGCGTTGCATTCCCTAGCGGACGAAAGTTGGCGACGAACTTCAAGTTAGAACATTGACAAAATGGCAGACATGAGGGGTCTGGTGGCAAGATGACCGCATCTATCCTCTTAATTTTGATTTTATTCCCCCCTTTTCTCTCCACGGTGCACGATCCATGGGTCCATGGGTTAAACGGAACGATATTGGGTTCTATTGGCTACGGAAAAGGGTTGCGAGGCGGAGGGAGCAACATATATTGGACTAATCTAACTAAACTATTTTGGGCGGAGAGGCAAGAATTAATCATTTACCGACATGGCTCGGCAGGAGATTACCAAGGTATATTGAACCTTTAGGTTTGGGTTGCTGCTATAGGATTCATTTGCATATCGCATTAGGATTGCCATGATATCAACTGGTTTGACAAATTCGAAGGTTGTGGCTGCGGTTCCACACACACTGATCATCTGTTGTCAAAAGCTCCGAGCTTCTTGTGTTGAAGACCTTTTGTCTTACAATTATTGCAAATCGTTATAGATAGCGACTAGGTTTCACATTCAATATGCTTATATTCTGACTTGTCTACAAGAGTCTTCGGCTTCCAGGAAATGTATAACTAAGGTAACTTATATACCTAATGTACCCGTAGGCTGTAGCACAAGCCACATGACATCATTCAGTAACCTCGAACACCAAGACTCGTGTCTTTTTCTCCACCACCAGAAACGACAAGATGGAAATCCATCGAAACTTCACCCGGGCTGATGGCGTAGACCAGCACAGACACAGGCATGTCATCCCCATGCACAGGAAGCACCAAAAGAAATGAGGTTCCGATCTGCAGCTTCAACCACAGTCCGCTCTCTGTTCCGTCCACCTGCCTAACTGCCTAGGTTATCATTGAGCGACTGACCAAGCGATCCTGACAACCTTACATTGGCTGTTTCTCGGTCTGCTCAATGAACATCAGTGGACAATCGTGCAGTACCGATCCGTCTCGTTCTGCGCCCTATCCACCTGTTTTACAGCATAGCTCTAGGCCTCTAACGGCCATGAGCACTGACGCTATCCTCGATTTGTTGCGGGATACTCTCTGCATGGACTGCTTCTTATTCGTCCTTCAAACAGGTGAGTTCTGCCCGACGGGCTGAGGAATACTTATCTTGCTTTCAAGCTATTTTGAATACACTGCACGAAACCACCAGGATCAGACTCGCATTGAACTTATGATTTAACATAACAATAACATAACAACTAAACTTGATTCATTGGCACCTCGGGTCCTATGTTTCTTAGAATGGATCAACACAGTTTGCCTGTGTAGAATCATGGATAGCTTCCAGGCACTCATCTCCAGGCGGATAACCATACGAACAACAATCTCTCGGCAATTTCTTGAATGCCTGTCTCGACGGCATCTGGGCCACAGACTCCAGTTACAATGGATAGACCACATTGACAGAATTGTTTCCCAGTGGTGATCTGCAGGGACGGTTTGCCTCGCCTTGTCGATCGAAAAGCGCCATCAATTTCTTTTGGTCCACTCCTGAACCCCCCAGTGACCTCATACCGGTGCCCCGTAAGACCATCTGGGGGTCCGCTGACCCATCAGATTGTGGTGGAGTCTGTTATTATTGCCAATCCCAGCCATCCTGAGTGCCCCCTAAAAAGAATTATCTACATGACAGCGTCCCGTCCACTGTAATATCACTGACGAGTTAGAGCAAACAGAAAAAAAAAAAAAAGAAAAGCCCTCCAAAATCCTTTTCCCTTTCCGTCTTCTTTTCTTCCTCTAATTTTGTCTCGGTACTGTTGGCTGGACATCCTGACCAATGATGTCATTCTATTTCGAGCCTCAGAGGACTCCAGTCTCCAGCAATACTGGACGTGGGTATAACCCCCCGATTTAAGTATTGATCGATGGTTCGCCTACCTATGGTCCGGATGAGATATGCCAGTCAAGCTCCTTCTTACACTTTGCCTTGGGGTAGTGCTGTGACTGGGACCGTGATCTCATATTGGGCCCGAAGGGAGGTTATATGCCCTTGCTCCTCGAGAATTACCTTCGAAAACATTGATGCACGAAGATAGAATATTCCAAGTGACATCTGTCTTACCCATTCTGTGTCCGCATCAAAACCCCGTGTCCAAGCCACATCCGCACTAGTCATACCTAGACCCTAGGGTATTTGCGTGTCTTTCCCCTCCTAACACATCCTGGGCTTCGTTTTCTTCGTACTCCCGTTCATCCTCATCTTTGTCATTGTCTGTGGTCCTTCGCTACTTCTTGTGACTTCAAGGCCGTCTAACTGCTTTCTTTCGTCCTTTGTGGCACTTGTCCCCCTTGCTGACTCTTCTCGTGGAAAAGGTGAGCATGCAAAATTTTTATCGTGTCCCACCCAAGGAGTCTACCCTCCCTTCCCCCCCCACACTCTCTCTGGTATATTACCTCTCGCTGCTGTTGAGGAGCAGTAGCACTGGCAGCAGCAACAGAGCTGAAGCACATCTGAAAACTACGTCACGCCATTAGCAAGTGACTCGACAACACTGGACAATGATGACGACCCTGTCCCACGCAGTCTCCCATATCACCGGCTGATATGTTGTAGAGTGGCTAAGGCACTTGGAAGATAGTCGATATCAAGAAGACTGACAGTGTCTCATAGAAAACAACGCAAGGCAAACTCGGGGCCATGCAGCAACCCAAGAACTCGGACCCAACTTTCCCGGTTGACGGAGGGGGATGTCGACCTCCGGGCGAGACCCACGTTGAAACCCAACGATCGGTGGATCCTAATATATCCATTGAAGACTACAACCGCGTTATGCTGCAGTATACTCAGCGACGCATGTCGAGCTTCCTGGACATGGGCAACGACAGCGGTCCTCCCAGTCGCAGCAGCCGGAGTAGCGACAGCAGCGGCAATAGTGGTGTCTCAACCAGTGGTGTGCTGGCCCGTCAGGCTGCAGGCCCCACCTCTCTGGAAGCCTCTCACCATCGCAACTCCCAGACACCCGGTCATAAACCCGTGAAGCACGCTGGCGATCCGAAGACAGGGCTTTAAATTTCCATGTTCGTGGGAGAGGCTCTCTGGCAACGACTACGGGTCTGGTGTTGCGCCATCTAACGGGTCTCTCATATGTCGCTGACCACTAGCAATGATGACGACGATGATGCGGTGTTTTCTTTCTTCGATCGAAGAAGTATTGGTGCATTCATGGGAAGCTTCAATGGCCAGGAACTTTGTTCCTAGTCGATCTTTCCGGCGTTTTGATGAGTTAGCGAGGAAGCGTTTTACGATTTTCTAGCGACAGCGAGGCGATTCTTTTCGGGCGTGTTTTCTCAATCTCTGTCGCCGATATCATCGCCCCCTTTCTTGTTCAACTGCCCCTTTTGGTTTACTTTCATACCACTAGAACGCGCTTGTTCCTACACTTGAACCGACGATGCTTATTTTTCCTTCCTGGATACCTGGCATCTGATACATGCGGCATAGTAGAAACCAACCATCTCCGACAGAGTTCAATTTCACCTTCAAAACCTCTTTTTGAGGTTGTTGATTAGGAATTCCTTCAAGGTGGCTTTTATCAAGTGGCTCACCAGTTGCTAACCACGCCCCTTCTGCTCTGATTTTGCGTCATTTTCATTTCTTGTCATTCGTTTGGTCTGATAAAGGCGTCCAACCGTTTCGCACTCACCTATTGATTGTAGCTGTTCGGTGTATGTCTTCATATTCTGACAGCAGCTGTCAATCAACAAATTTGGTACAACTTCACCTCATCCTAGGATATCTCTGTTGGTCAATGGTTCATCCTTTCAGGGGAGAGAGACTCGGGTCTTTGTATACGACACTGCTCATTACTGCCGGCGTGATTTTTTGGTCGTTCTTATCCAAGGGAACTGGTCTTCCCGTTACGGACTATATCTTGTTACGATGCTACGGCCTTCCTGCTCATGATGTGTTCTATATGTGACTCGCAGCTACGTTTAGTGAACCTAGGACGGCAGCTCGAGGACTTATGCACGATATTAATGTCTTATTGGGTCCTTTCTTTGGGCCAACTAGGGCCGACGCTGAACCAATTGTAGGTATTGCTTCGAAACGTAGGTCCAGAGGCAAGGCTCGAGTTTCTGCTCAATGTAGTCCCTTGCATGGGCAGGGCGGCTGACTCGACCAATCGATCACTCACCTTGGAGGAGTGAACATCACCATTAGCCATCCTGACTCTATTCCACGATGTGTGGAAGGGATGAGCATGAACCAATAACGACAACTTCACCCTTGATACAAATCAGAGACTGCGCACTGTTTGAGACAAGAGGATAATCGCAGTCATATACCTTCAGAGATGCTGCTTCAATGCCAGAAATGTGATTTTCTCATTCGCATTCAAATCGCGATCTCTGCGATTTTATCAGAACACTTCGCGATGGACCTCTCGCGCATTCCATTCATACTTGACCTGGACTGGAACAGCATTCCATATAAACAAAGTTGATGCTCGAAACGCGAGTCATACCACTCACGTCCATCCATACCTGTTTTGGACGTGTGTTCCAAACACCGCGGTATAGTTCTCACAGTCAATGAGACACCTTCTGCCAACAAGAAACAACGACTCAGATAATCGACCCCTTCACCAAGTCACCGATCCGATATTTTCACCCTCATCTTCCCTTCGAAAAGACGCCTCCGAGCGATTGTATATTTCTCAGACTCTACCGACCAACGCACGTCGCAATCCAACGTCGAACTCGCCGACGCGCCAACCACAGCCTCGAGTCACGAACAAAGTGATAATCAACCAAAATGCGTCCTCTAACTGTCCTCTGCGCCCTCTCTACACTCTCAGCTACACTCGCGGTTCCCTTCTCGCAACCATCCAACTCAACCAGCGCATCAAAAAAGACCCCCTCGTCAACTGGGCCGGCGACTCTACCCTCGCCGACACTCAGCGCACCTAATTCTTGCCCCCCAAATAGGTCCAAGCAATGTTGCACAACCCTCAGCGAGGTAGGCGACGGTCTCCTCAAGCCATTGGGCATGCTCGTTCCTCTCGTGGGGGCGATTGAGTTGAATTCACTGGTTGGGCTGTCGTGTAAGTTCCTTTACTCTTTTTATCATCAGGTGTATCCCCGCCTGTCTGACCGCATGTACTGACCTCATACTAAACAGGCCATAAAATGGACGACAAGGCCCCAGAAACCGACTGCGGGGATGCAGTCATGTGCTGTGATAAAACTTCGACTGTTGTGAGTACATGCTTCAATCCAATTCCGCGAGGACCGGAAATTGAATGAAATGGAATTGAATTGACTGACGGCTGACCTTGGTTTTTCCCTTCCCAGGCCTCGGACAATTTCATGCAGACTTCCTGCCTGGACTTTGCTATCGCGAAGAAGCAGGAGCAGGAGGCGATTGAGCGCCAGCAGAGGCGGTTCTCGGCGTATCAGAGTATGATGATGTCGGAGTCTGCTACCCCTAGCCCGACGCCAGTCGGTCTGATGGGCTCGTCTGTCTCGAGGGCGATGGCAACGCCGACCAGGGTTTAATGCGGACTTTTGTAATGTATGAAGGAGGGAGAGCATAATGCATTCTTTGTGTGGATGGTATGATGCGGGCGGGCCATGGTGAGGATATTTGGCCTGCTGTCTTCCGAGTGCTCTTTTTCGCGCTTGCAGGCTTTTTGTTCCATTTCTTACATTCCTCTGATGTGTTATAGCATTATACCGATTTTTGAAAGGTTTGGAGACTGGATTGTAATATTATTTTTCTCCCACGACTGTGATTGCTGCAGGAGTGTCATACTCGCTTAACATATATTTCATGCACCGTCAGCATGTAAAGTTAATGTACAATAGATTCTTGACCCGCCTACTTCTACCTCCAGCCCCGGCCAGATGGCGGGAATCCACCACCGTACTGGTTCCACTGACCCGACATGCCCCGTCCCTGGGCCCCAGGATGAGGCGGAGGGAAGTGATTTGACCCCGGGGGCATCTGTTGTGCCGAGCCCATGTTCCACGGAGAGAACTGTCCTTGCGCATTAAAAGGTGGCGGGAATGCAGACGGGTTCATTCCCGTGCCCGGAGGAGGAAATTGCATCGTCGGCAATGGTGGAGGTGGAGGTGGAGGCCACTGGCCTTGATAATTTGGTGGGCGAGGTGGGGGAGCGCTTGGTGCCATCCGTGGGGGAAACGCAGGTGGAACGGGTGGCACGTTCCCGCCCGGAGGGAAATGCATAGGCGGTGGAGGTGGAGGCTGAGAAGGGTGAAATCCCTGAGGCCCTGCGCTGCTGTATTGAGGGCTCTGGTGTTCAGGAGGTGGATATCGAGGAGGGGACGGTGCGCGTGGAGAATAGGACCTCTCTCGGGACCGTGATCTTCGTGGAGAACGAGACCGAGAGTCATAACGCCGGTCATTAGCTTCATGTCTGCGCGGAGCCGATCGGCTACGGGAGCTTGAGCTCCTCCATCGGCTGTCGTCGCTCTCTGGACTGCCACTGTAGCGACGTCTCCTTGACGGACTGCGGCTGCGGCTGCGGCTGCCACTCCGAGTGCGGTTTCTTGAGTTACCCTTGGCTCGTCTTTCTTTCATCTGCTGACAAAAGGCACGCGACCATCCATAGTACGTGTCACCACCGAGAATGTCTCCTGTGGAGCTATCTCGGACAATTGTCTGGCCCATTTCATCAATGTCCACTACTTCGTTCTCTTTCTGCTCTGTTTGTCCCGAGTTGTACATCCGATCGACATCCTTGAGAAATGCCTTGAGCGCCGTCACCAGTTTTTCATCCGCTGGTCCAGCCAGGAATTGCAGAGGCTTGATGGTATCTGGGCGTAGGGGAACCGTTGAATCGGGAATGATGTGCGGGACAAGATTGCCTGCTGGGAGGTCATAATAGGGAGTAGAAGAATCTCCGTGAGTTGACGGCATCACAAAAGGGATATGCTTCACTACAGATCGGTCGATCGTGTCCGTGTTGTTCTGTTCGACATCGATGGATGACTTGACTGGCCCAGCTTCAGCCGAGTTCTTGACAACCTCGCGCAGCTTGTTGACATAGTCGGCACCGTAGTACCCATTTTTATCCCATATGTCCAGTAGATCGTCTAAGCGCCTGTGATGTTTTGGGTTCTTGGATCGATTGTAGGATGCAGCATAACCCAGTAGTTCCACGATATGCGGTTGCAGTGAACCACTCAGGGTGGAGAATGCCGCAGGGGTGTCCGTATGGTACTTGGTATGATGGAAAAGATCGTTGAGCAAATACAGAATATGCAGCCTCTTTCTTTTTGACGAGGTGCCAGGACGAGACTCTGCCAACTTGGAGGTTTGTCCATTCTCCCCGCTGGTAAACGAACCGGACAAAGCAACCAGGTATTTAGCCCAGACACCAACGCGGTTAGATGACGAGACGACATAATTCAAGAGCCATGTCTTGCATTTCTAATACACGTCGGGAGCGAAAAGTTTAGTATTCCAGTATCACCGACGGGCAGGACTCGACAGATCAAACCTGGATGTTCGCTACGGAGCAATGCGATAGCGCCGTGTCAAGCAGAGTGTGGAAGGCTGTGATTTCATCGCGCGGGACAGAAGTGGGGTCAGGGCGTAAAAGCCCGGCTGAAAAAGATGCCTTCGCAATGGCAACTTGATGAGAGGCCATTGCTATGGTAAGTAGGAGAGCAAGAGGAGAGTTGCCAGGTAGAAGAATATGATTGCATCGACATTTCGGACTCAATTGCGGGATCGTTTTGTCGCACGTGATCTGACTTTACATTGCTCGTAGTTCTCACTTCTCGGTTTATCTACGCTGGTGGCCTTTCAGACGATCATCTTAGCTCCAAGGTCAAATGTGGGCTCTCAGCGCTCATATCTTTTCTCGAGAGATACACCAGTTGAATTACCCAGATGATAGTTGTAAGTTGAGAGAGTGGCTTGATGACCTCTCTCAGATGTTAAAGTATAAGTATTCATGCCTCAGCCACTAAAGTTACAAGACACAGTCCAAAAGGAAGGTACAGATTCTTTCGATGGTATGATTTTCACTGATGAGTCAATACCAACAAATTCATCAGCAGCAATAATGGACCAAATGGACGCTGTCAACATATGCTGGTTTCGGAAAAGGAAATCCGCCATCAGCCCTAGCCATGACTCGCCGAGATAATTGCTTCGACTCCATGGATTTACATGGTCCTAAGTTTTAGAACAACATATCTACCTTGGTATTCCAGAGTACCACAGCACGCTTCTCGTCGGCCCCGCAGTGATTCGTCCGGCTGGATCTCACGATCATCTGCCTGTCGATGGCGTGAGGATGTACCTCCATTACGTGTACCTGCCAGGGGCACGGTAGTAAGGTGTAAGGGCTCTGAAAAGCCTGGCTTGGGTGTTGCAATTATTGTTGTCACCAAGGTATCTAGTGTCTCTGGTAGACACTGCCAGACATGAAGAGTCCAAAGACAAAAGTCGTTTCTATCACTGAGCTCAAGGCACTTAAGGAAGTTGAAAAAGTGTGACCACTCGGCCCCCGCCTTCCGATCCATCTGCCGACGGATGTGTAGGAGATTGATGATCTGATCTGACTCTGACCCCCGTGGATCAGCTCCGTGTCCTTTTTCTACAACGGTCAATTTTCGCTCGCGAGAGACTTTACCCTCCCCTCTTCAAGTTCACGCCACTCTTCCTTCCCTGCCATCATCACTCAAAGTGGGTCATTGTTGATGGATCCCCGCAGTCTACTCTCCACCAGGTTTGCAGGTGAGGTTGGATTGCATGTTGTAAGTACCCTGAGAGGCTCAGAGTGATTTATATTTAGGCGTGTAGAACCATGATATGATGTTCATATAATCTCGGCTGTCCCTTGTATCATTTTGCATTTTCTCAGGCTGCCTACTCAATATCGAGTCTCTCTCGATACTACCCACGCAAAACACCTAGAATCCATCAGTATACACATCCAAGCATTAGCAGACATATTATTTCCGCAAAACCAAACCAAAACACGCCTGAAGGAAGCATAACGAACCTCTACCTCTACAACAGAGCCATTCAACGCAAACAAACATCTTCTTTTTGAAGCTCTTCTTCAAAATGTCCGTTTCAATTCCCGTCCGTCCAGCAATCCGCCATTTCTCTGTCCGCCGTCCTCCACCAGATACTCGCACTTCCAGATTCATAGCCAGTTCCTGTCTTGTCTCAGCAGTTCTTCTCCCTTTTGTACCTCCGGCGCTGGAGAGCTTCCGTAAGAAGGACAAGACTTATTCAAACAAGTGAGCTTTCCCGGTACTCTGAACTCGCCAATCCGCTAATCAGTATACTGATGTTGTGTCAGACCGCATCCACCTCTTTGCTTCCATGCTCGTTGAAGTGCACAAACTATGAGGTCTTGACAACTTTCGACTGAGGGATTTGTCCCTCAATATGGAAATCGTTATTACGTCTTCCGATCTACCCTTCGAGGGCGCTGTCAGCGGGTTACTGGCAGTTTTGACGCAGATATATGAAGACTAACAGACGGGCCCTGCATAGTTCGGCGTTACTGGCGCTCTGATATTTCTTCTATGGGTTTCAGTGGGATTAATGAATATTCGTATATTTTCAACTAGTTGAGTCTGAAATGAGACACAATATCCATCTCAAAAAATACATTAATCCACAATTCAGGGTGATGGTGACCTATTGCGTTCACTATTACACATGCATCTGGATGATGACATGATACCTGTAGCCTCATTTGATCTTCAGTCTGGAAGGTCATTGGTGGTAAGGTGATGTATGAGACGAAGAGAGTGCAGAAAAACACAGAGAATATGGTACATAGCTTATCACATCCAACGACGGTGTATTATTACAACCGTTTAGGTGATTTTCTCATACACCTTCCTTTGACGTGCCCTCGGTGAACAAAACCAAAACATCGCTCTAGCTGAGTCGGTTGCCCCTCGGAGGTCGAAACGGCTGAGTAGCCTCATATTTCCCCTTCTCGAGTACCCGCTCCGCCTCTGTCTCCGGCTCGTGACGAGTTGGTGCAGGATCATGTCCTGCCTCTGCACTAGGCGAAGCGACATCATCCGCCGCACTCTGGAAGCGAGCCATGTTCGCCCGTTTCAAGCTAGGGTTTTCCGACGGTGCGGTGATCGGCTCGTTGAGAGAAGATTGGCGTCGGTGTTCTGCTTCCATCGCGGCAAGCTGCGCCTTCTTCTTCAATTCTGCTTCATATCTGGATGCACGGTCTGCATTGATGGACTTTTTGGCAAAGTAGTAGGCTCCGCCGCCAGCTGCAGGATTGTCAGTTGCTGGTACTCCTCGAATAACTTGCAATTGCTGACTAGCGAGGCAAAAGTTAGATGAGACACTTACCGACGCAAAGAGCTCCCCAGCCGACCCTGTTAACATGTCAATGATGAATTGAAGTTAGCAAGGCATCTCCTTCTCTCTACAATTGCTGAATGGCACTGTGCAGGTAGTATCTGCTCACCAAGTTGATCGAATCTACATAAAGAAGAGCCCCAACTAAGTCAATGCTAATATTCTTCCCCGACGA